ACATGGTTAAAAACTAGGTTGATGAGAGAGTCACAATTTTGGTTTTGATCCATTTTCCATTGTTTGCCCAGAGACCTAAACATAGATAAAACAGGGGTTATGTGTGTGTGTGTGTGTGTGTGTGTGTAAAACATCCTTGTGTTTGTAACATACTTGTCCAAATAAAGTGATTATCTTTATCCTTACACCAAAGAATGATTGATCGACTGAGAAATCCTTTAGGTTTGCTTTTTGATATGTCACATAAAAAAAAAAAATTCCAACAGGTGGCAATGCGGGCGCTCGGCTTTGAAGTGAAGAAAGTGGACGTTCTGAAGATTCTTAAAGACTATGACAGAGAGGGAAATGGCAAAATAACATTTGAGGATTTCAATGAAGTTGGTAAGTTTGTCTTCTCTTCATCTGAATGTCTGTGCAGAGAGATAATGCAATAAACGTGATAGTCAAAGAGCACTGGATGATGAGCAGAGGGTGATGACATACAGTATGAATACATCTGTCCTGGCACTGGCTGAAGTGCTTCACATCTTTCCACAGTGACTGATCGCATCCTGGAGCGAGACCCAAAGGAGGAAATCATGAAGGCCTTTAAGCTCTTTGATGATGATGAGTCAGGGAAGATCAGTCTGAGGAACCTGAGGCGAGTAGCCCGAGAACTTGGGGAGAATGTCAGTGATGAGGAGCTGCGCAGCATGATCGATGAGTTCGACACTGATGGAGATGGTGAAAGTAAGTCACCACTGCCGTGTGCTCACATCAGCTGTGGGTGTGTCTCGAGGTGCCCAAACTCACGTGAAGGAGTCAGGCCAGTGGCAAATACACTAAATTTTATTATATGAAACTGTATTGTACAATGAAGCCTGATGCAGAGTTCAGTTTATTTTATTCTTATACAACTGAAAAGTGTTGTGTAAATGCTGGGGATTAATAATGCATCAGGAACCAATAGATCCTTCTGAAACACACTTGTTCCTAGTTCAGGAGGGAAATGTCGGCACAGGAAATATGGGGATATTTTTGAATATTTATTGTTTGCTTCACATGAAGTCCCAAATGAAGTGTTCCATTAACATCTGATCTAAAGCACCTGTGCTGAACAAATTCTGCACCAGTTTGCTTGATTGTGTGTAAGCTTGATGATGCATGACTAAAAATCTGAAGTATATTGAAGTATATTTGCACTAGAGTGGAGCAAGTTTCTGATACGTGCATGGTATGATGGGTTAGGTTTGGAAAATGGTTTTACTTATTATGGGGCCCTATAGATTTATCACAGCATGACCTGATACTCCCCTCTGTATAACATCATTTACCTTGATTACTGAACTTCCACAGGGATGCTCACCCATTCTCTTTATAAAAGACACTCGGTAGTTTGCTCATTCATTTAAACCATGTGTGTCATCACTGACACATCGGCTGCATTGTAAGATTGTTAGGAGAAAGAATAGCACATGCCATAGAGGTGATCTTTTTCATTTGCAGGAATTTTTAGTACATTATACATCTATAGTGCAAGCAAGCAAGCAAGCAAAGTTTATTTATATAGCACCTTTCTAAACCTGCCTTACAAGGTGCTTTCCAGTAAAACATAAACAAATAATAATAATAATAAAAATACCTAAGACCAGATAAAACACATCAATACAGTAAAATAACAAGAAAAATACATAGACAAAACAAATACATCAATCAATAAAATTGTCAAAGGCCCGTGAATACAAATGTGTTTTAAGAAGTGATTTAAAAACAGACAAGTTCGGAGCTGATCTAATCTCCCATGGCAGACCATTCCACAGTATAGGAGCCCGAACTGAAAAAGCTCGGTCTCCCCAATG